GGCTAAACAACAATAAGAATAACCAGAATTGTTGTTAGCAGCCCAGCACAAGGCCACGACACAATTTTCCCTTTGTGTATCTGTGAGTGTGTGTGTGTGTGAGTGAAAGTTGTGAAAACTCTTGAGAGGCATTCAAAGACACAAAAACATGGCGCTATTTGGCCCAAACTTTTTCAATTTGGTGCTGAGGAAAAACGAGCGAAATGAGTATTATTTTGTTGTTGCTCATTTGTTGCATTTAAAAAGCAATTATTTGCAATAAAAAGCTTAGCAAGTAATGAAAGTGCACTGTAAATAATTGAGAGTATATAAAAGAACTGCTAAACAAGTAAAAACAAAAGCAGAAATGCAAGTACAATTTTTTAAAATATTTTTATTCGTTATATTAAAGTCAAAAGTATATAAAAAGCTGGCTGGCTTTTTAGCCATTAAACGCTTTTTGTCACTACATTTATATATGTAATTTTAAGCTGCAATTCTGGCAACAAAATACATTTTAATTGTAAAAAGTTTAAACTGTTTAAACGTTATTAATTCAAGCTACAAGCTGTTATTATTTTCATTAATATGCCATCTCCATTAATTGCTAATTTATACAATTTTCTACCAAAAGTGAAGCTGTTTTCCTCACACCCCAAACACAGTCCTTATCTGTCTGTAAACGTGTTTCTCTATTTTTGTCTAAACCCTTTCCCTTAAAACCCAAGGGATTATATGCCTTGTGCCCCCATCTAAATGTAAATGGGCAATTGGAAAATAATAAGTGTAAGGGGGGAAAAATAGAAAATGATATCCTTGGTCGGCTGAAAACTTGTCCATCTCCTACATATTTACGAAAAGTTGTTGCCAAAGCGATAAAGCAAAAGGAAGTGAGGGAAAAGTTGGGTGAAAAACAAAAGCGTAACGAGACGAATTTTCAATTTCGTTGTATAAATAAAGCCGTAAGTTATCTACCAGCTGGAAAATTGAGTTTTCCCCGAGTTCAGCTCTCTCTCTCTCTCTTTCTCTCTCTCTCTGTGTGAGAGTCGGCTTAACATTTTCTCCTCACATTCTCCGGTGGGTCCAAAGTTGCAAGTGCATGTAAATAAATTAGGATTCTCCCATAGAGCCCCCAGAAAAAGAGATTCCTTGGAGCAATTATTGAGCAATGCCAATGGTAGAAAAACAAAGCCGAGAACACAACGAAAAACGAACAAACGGACGGCTGGGGCCATCAATTTTCCTAGGATTGCGGTTTTACCTCCCCTCAGACAGACAAACTTTGGCCATTTCCTGCAGAAATAGCCATGCAAATGTTTAGCAGGCCACTTGGATACGGAAAATGTAGCATTCACAATGCGAAATTTTCGTGTTTCCCAAAGGAGGAGGGAGGAGCAAGGGGTAGCTGCAGAGAAAACAGGGTCAACGGAAAATGGTAACGTACAAAACTCGGGCAAAGTGAAAAACCCCTAAATAGAAAAAAAGAAAAAAAAGACCAAAACTTCTTGGCCTGGGCAGGGATTTTTCCAAATGTTTGCCAGCAACTCGGTCAACTCGAGTCACGCACTTTGCGAACATTGTCAAATCGACAATTTACTCGTTAGCAAAACTTTTTCCCCGAGATACCAAGTCCAAGCTGGCGAGGAAACTTTCTGGCCAAAAACAGGCTCCTCAAATTGAAAGGTTCTTGTATTTAGTTTCGAAATTTATTTACAAAACGAAAGCCGTACAGGATTTGGGCGGGATTTGTAGGGGCATGTGTGTGTGTTGGTAGATTGTAGCTGCTGCCTGAGTCTGTTTTATGATGGCAACACACACTCAAAATGGAATTTCAGGCATTAATTATGCTTACCAAGATGTGGAGAAACTTTTCCGTTGCTCTCTCTCTCTCTCTCTCTTGGCCATGACAAGTTCGTGTAATGTTTGCTGCAGAAAAGTCGAAAAGAAATGCATTGCACTCGGCCCTTGTTGTTTATGCATGAAACGTGCCTTGCAACCATTTGCAACTCCCAGCCTTTGTTGTCTTCTTGTAAGAAAAAAAATTAAGGAAAAGGAGAAGGAACTGGTTCAGGGGGAGTGCTCTTATTTTTCCTTGCTCTTCTCCCAGTTGACTGACACAATTTTCGCTCATTATGGCAGCTTGCGAAGGTTGCTCTTCGCCTGCCTTTGTCTTATTTTTTTTTATATAGTTTGCCAACTTATGCTATATATATTGTCCCTTGCCCCTTGCCTTGCTTCTTTTTTGAACTTGGCAGGAAAAAGTTTTTTAAACGCTTTATTGAAACAATTTCCGTTTTATGGAAATTTTTTTGCCGGCTTTCTTGCAGAAAATATATATTTCATTTTCGCTGTCATATATCAAAATGGTGTCAAGCATACGCCATGTTGGCCAAGCCAAAAGAAGCTGCTGGAGCAGCAGCATCTGCCAGTAAATGCAAATTTAATGCGGCATGCAAGTGGGGGAAAGGCATATCCCATTCCATTTTCTCTCCATTTGGATCCTGGCAGCAGGTGGCCACGTTGAAATGACATCATTTAAATTCATGCATGACCCACATTGCACCTCAGGTTGGGCGCAGCTGCAACATCTGCTTTCTGGCTTTCTGGTTGCTGCATTGCCACCCACTTCTTAGCAGCCGCCTCGTGTTTTATTAACAAAGCAATTTATTGCATAAATTCACATTGCACTCGGTCGGTTGGCCACAGTTGCCGCAGTTGCTTCCTCCTATCGATCCTGGGGGCTCCCGGAAACTGTCCTATCCTGTCCCTCTGCGGGGCCAAAAAAACTTTTGCTCGTAAACGTTTAAACGATTCCCGGGGTCGTGAGAACCATGAAAATGCAAGACTGTTGAAAATTGTGCAGTTCATGAGTAACCAGAAAAGTTGCTAAGTACTTTGTTGAACAGAAAAGATGGGTACTCTAGGAGAAAGTACAACATGGGAAAAACCTTTTAAAATGAAGTGAACTCATTGTATATTAATTATAAATATCTTTAATTATAAAACATGAGAGTACAAAACATTTTCCTGCCTTTAACAACTTTAATACTCCTCAGAAATAATAATAAAACGAAACTGTGCGTGGCTTATGTGCAACACTGCATTAAGTCCTTGCAGCTGGCAGGGTTAAGAGCCTTGAAACTGTGCCGAAAAGCATGCAACAAATGCTGTGCGGACTCTGCTCTCTGTGTGTGCCAAGTCATGCGAAAAGCTTGCCACTCGCCACTTTCTACTTCTACTTAGTGCCATGCCCCATTTCGCTGACTGCTAATTGCTGCATAAATCAAGCGGCAAAACGACGACCAAGCCAGGCGGCAGGCAGAAAAACAGAGAGTGGAAAGCACAAGAGCGCTTTAAATAAACTCGGCCAGAACGAAAGTGTTGCAGGCGGCGGGACAAACACTGCTTGTATTTTTTATTTTTGCAGGCCCCACCCACTCACCCAGCATCCCCCCCCCAAAAACCCCACCCAGAGCCTCGCTGGAGGGATATTTATGAGTGCTTTTGGTCAAGCGTTTGCCTGCCAACTGTCCAGCACAGGATGATATATGCTGCGGTGTGTGGGGTTTTGAGCTGGCAACGCTGCGTATACGCAATACGCAAATATTTTAATTAAATTTCAAACGAATACGAAACGATTCGATATGAAATGAAATGTAAGCAAATAATAAAGGCAGCAGGGCTTCTTTGTAGGGATCTTGGGAATATTCGTGGTTAAGTTGTGCAAAAAATATACCTTTTTAATGAATTTCAGGGAAATTTTAAAAGAAAATCAATTGAAATTCCGCTTAAATATAAAGAATCTGATAAATATAAGAGGTATCCATACAGTCTGATTTTCACGTTCTTTATTTTTAATTCCCGTATTTGTTTGAACAAAAGCAACGGCGGCCTCCCCGGGCTTGTGTGCTTTCAATTTTCGGTTATAACTGCCGTGGAGAGGACGCCCTGCCTGTTTGGTTAATTCACAGCCATGGAAATGGAAACAAATGCTCAAAATATCCACTGGGAAATTAAATTTAAAGTCAAACAAAAGCTGAAATTGTAATTCGCTGTCATTCGAAAGTTAATTGTTTCCCCTCCGAGGCGGCAAATCACTCAATTTGAGCTCGTTGCCATTACTCACGCTCGTTGTCGGCCTTGTCTATACATATATATATATATATAATGTAATATATGTTTTCTGGGCATTAAAATCTGGGGTTGGGGGTCAACAAGTGTCCTGACTGACTGTGTCTGGCCCATTGCCAAGACTTCGGGGCACGGCTTTATAGGGCATTTCATAACGCGTGAAGAAATTCAATTAAGTTCGTGCCGGCTTCTATTTTGGCCACTGCTTTTATGGCCCGAACAAGCGGCGAACGAAATTAAAGTCAATAAACAAGAGCTGCCGTCTGCGGCCGGGAATTGTCTCTGTCATTCTGTTGGCCCACGGCTGTCTCTGGTCTACGGTCTCTGGTCTCCGGTCTCCGGCCAATTGGTTCTGGTCACAGTTGTTGTGGCAGAGTGTCCTTTTTCCCCTCGTTCACTGCCGCTCTCCTGTGTGTGCGGTTTCTGTACTCGTTTTGGTGCGAATAAACCGCAAAAACCCGTCATAGTCCTCACTCAGTCAGACAATGGGCCACATGAAGTGGAGGACATGGCCCAAGGGTCGCTGACGATGTCAATGTGAATGCGGGGGAGCCCTAGCAACAACTCAAATGTGAATATAGAACAACTCAAGGACACAGCCCTTGCATAATTTTCAATGGAAAATAGCTGCCATTTGTTGCGCACAAAAGAGCGCTTTATTATGCCGAAATTTCTTTTATTTAAAACAGGAGAGGCACTGCGGGAAAAGGCTTTTCAAATTAGAGAAAATTTTCTTGTTGTTAAATTGTTTTATTACTGAAAGGAATCGTCTTTGTGGGGAGTAAGAAAAACAATTCATTTTTAGATTGTGGGTACTTATTATCTTAGACTTGACATATCCATTTTTAGTGAACTAATCCGTTTTTAACCACCTTCATTCTCATTTACAGATACACGAGGATCTAGAGAAAGATCCCGACTATTCTGGCTCCGGTTTTGGACCCGATGACGAGGACGCCGAACCCGATCAGCACTCTCACACATCGCACAACACACGCGTCTCGCAGAACATTGGCGGCGGCATAAACAGTAAGCATAACTCGAACGACAACTTCGGCAAGAACAGCAAGAACAGCAACAGCGACCTCATCTCGAGTAGATTCAACAACAATAATAATCACAATCAGATCGACAACAGCCAGAATATCAATCTCAATCAAAATAATAATAATCATCAAACGAATAGTGGCACAATCATTGGTAGTAGCACCACAGCGAATAATAATAACCACAATATCAACATCAACGGCCAGAGCGGCATCATCAGTGGTAGTGAGAACGGTGGTCATAGCACCGGCATTAATTCAATCGGTAAAGATCAAGCTAGTCATGTAAATGCAACATCAACAATGACACTCGTTGGTGTTATTTCCACTTCTACTTCAACCTTCAACAACACACAAACTCCAACAGTTTTAACAATCCCAAAAACAGATACAGATACAGATACAAATACAGAAACAGCTGTAGCCAGAGGTCTAGATAGATTCTTAGTAACAGTCACCGCCCGTTCGAGTTTAGTTAGTAATTATAGTAGCATTAGTAGCGACCATCCATCCAATTCATACACAACAACACCAACAACAATCGCATCTCTATATCCAGCAGCTCATTTACCACCACAAACCTCATCCACGACCTCAACGACAACAACTGTTCCAACAACCACCACAAAAACCCCGTCCACATCCTCTACAACAACAACAACTGCTACACCAACAATCGCAGCCAGTACAACAACGTCCACAACAGCAACGCCTTCCCAAGTCAACTCCACAATTCCAGCCACATCCACGAATCAACCGATATTCCCTGCTTTCGATAAGGATCTCGATTTGGCAGCTGGCAGCGGCGATAAAATCGATGATGATGACGAAGAGGACGATGATATTTTCGGTGCTCCTATCGATGAGGAGATCGAAAAGGATGGCGATATCGATATCGATCGCCCGATATCGCAAACGCCAGTGCTTAGCGGTAAACCCAAAGACGATAACGATAACGACAACGATTATGGTAACGGTGATAGCGATGATGGCGACGATGACGGCACCATTGATGTGGATGGCGGCAACGAGGAGGAGGATGAGAATGTGAATGGCGGTGGTACTGGCAGGACCAGTACTGGTGGCAACGATGGAGATATCATTACAGAGCGCGGACGTCAGTGGTTTTTATTTTTAACCTTATACTTTCTTACTTGTTACTCTCTGATTTCTTTCACCTTTCAGTTTATATGTTTGTGTAGTTTTGTGTTTTATTACTGCCTTTGCTTACCATCACATTTATTTAAATCTTTGTGTTGTCCTTGTGCACATTATTACTTTTATTATTTGTCGTAAAAACTGCTTTGCAAACAAACAATGCTTTTTCAGCTCTGCAATTGTGGTATTTATTTAATTATACATTTTAGCTTGTAATATTTTGCTATGGTTTTATGGTTTTTAAAGGGTATTGTTGTTGCACAGAATAAAAGTCGAGTCAGTCAATGAAATATTTAATATTTATTTTGCCAGCTTTTATTCTGTGCACAAGCTTTGTTTATATTAAGTAGTCTGGCTTTATTTCTCTGTATAATTGCTTTGCTTTCATTGAGTAGTTGGTCTCTCTGCACTTTAAGTACTTTAAATTACAAGTATTTGTTGGTCAAATTAAGTTTTTCCCTTGGTATGTGTACATATATAATTTACTTTATTTGTCGCGCTCTGAAAACTCTACGGTCAACGCTGCGGGTGTCCTTTCTGTCTCTCTCTGTCTCTGTCTCCGTCCGTTCTCTGTCCCTGTCTACACACTGACCCAAAGGACATAACAATTTTATCACATATTTGAACCAGACACACACCCACACAATTCATTCATACGAGTTCATTAAATCATTTGCCTTGATCTCTGTTCTTGGCATTCATTCGATTGCGAAAAACTCCCGCAGAGCGAACACAATTTCACTCCGACCTCCCCTACCCCCCTCATCGTTCTTAGTGTTTAGTTTTTAGTGTTAACCTTAAGCTAGTGTTTAGACTAAGTCGAGTAATTTAAGGATATTGTTTAAAAGCTTTTATCGAGCAAACAAAAGGGACAGGCCCAAGACAAAGACAAAGCCGAACAATCGATTAAGCTGCAACACGGAAAACACTCCATCAAATGGGGGAGGTGAGGGTGGAGGTGTCCCAGGACATTCTGCAATTCTTACCCTAGGCATAAAGTTCCATTAACACTGTCCCGATCTGAACCAGAGCTCCGCCTCCTGCAGTTTTCAAAGGAAGCGAATAAAAATCGCACTAAGCCGCGCTGTGATTTTCAGCTTTGTGTTTTTCCGGGAGGGCTGTTGGGTTGGGAAAAACACTTGGCGTGCTTCACAGGCACTTTAAATGAAAAATCACCAAGTCCTGGCAATGGCAAGGCTCCAGTGTCTGCAGCCCATTCCTCGTTGTCCCTTTTTGGTGGGCGAACTCCTGCTCGTAACTGTAGCCGCTGACTTGAGGCATTGTTGCTGTTCCAATGGTTTTGTGTGGGGACAAAACACTGGGAAAAAAGAATATAGTAAACAAGGAGACAAGAAATGATAGAATTGGGAGTATATATAGAAGGGAAAGAAAGTAGAAATACCTTTAAAGAAATATACTTAAAAGAAAGTATATTAATGAAAATTTATTAAACAAACCATAAAATCTTTGATTCTTTGGTTTCCCCAACAATTCTGACAGTGCAAACTCAACCTTTACCATCACTGCTATTGATAGACCTAACCCAAAACCCACACTGCACTGTCAAAATCCAAAACATGGCCTAATGGCCGTCGCAGGTTTGGTCTCCATTCTATGGTTTTATGGCTTTTGATGTTTGCTTTGCCATTGCCACGGCCACAAGCACATACAAGGCACCATCAATATGGTCAGAACTGGAGCAGTGGCAATAATTCTGCCATAATTGTGCGCAGCTGACCACACAGGATAGATGCCAGTCCAAAATACCTCCCCTCCCGAAACAAGCAAAACCCGGGAACAAAGTGCATTTTGCTTTCAAAATCCACAGCAGACAAGACACATGGATGGCACCTTTATGGGTTCGTAGCAAACACCGAACAGAACAGGACAAGACAATCAGTCTGATGGCAAAGACAGCTCCACCAAAGAAGCAATCTAAAATCTCTAGCCAGGCTAGGAAATCCATTTGCTCTTCCTCCGAATAGAAATAGCATTGAAAAGTAAATATTTATACAGGAGGAGAAGGAGAGTTAAAGTAGGAAAATTCTGCGCTGATTTCCACGAGTTTGCAAGGCGCATATAAAATCAATTTGGAGGGGTTTATAAGCGAGGGCCAATTCAAGGAGCTCTTGTGGGCATTACCTAATTAATATGCCGCCCCTTGAGGCACATACAGCCATGTGTATGTGTGTGTATAGGACGAGGGCTAAACAAGCAATTTGTTTGTCTTAAGCTGTGCGTGTGGGTGTGGGATCCTGCAGCTTAGTGTGGAACATGAGGGAGTCAAACAAAGAACAAAGTACTCTCACACACACATATAGGTTCAGGAATAAAGCCAAATACAGGGGAGGGGGAAGGGTCTTGTCAATTAAATAAAATTTAAACTCTCTACTCGTTTGACAGGCAATTGGCTTTAAATTTGACGCTTTTTTCAGGCTGCTTGCCACTTGCCTGTCAGATTCAGCGAACAAAAATAATTGGAAATATAGAAAAAAGGCCAATCAATACAGCATTTTCCCAGCTTAAGTCACAGCAATTGAAATTCCCTCGCGAATTTGTGACAATTTCCCTTGGCAGCTTAGAAACTTTTTTCATTTCTAACAAAAGTTAGCATGAAATGAGCTGCCAGTAAAAGTTATAAAATATATATTAGTATCTTATAAGGACATTAACCTCTCTATAGACTAGGACCTCAGGTTAACCTAAAGCTACCTAGTTAAGTTATCCACATTTTAGCTTAAGTTCCCCCCATCCTCCCCCTTTTGTAGCTTATATACAGCAGCTCGACTAACATTAAGCCTTGTAAATACTGCATAACAGCTCATTAACACACGCACACTTTCCACACACACACACACTCACCCGGCATACCATATACACACCCACCTACTCAGTAAAACCAATATTGACACTCGAATCAATTTAATTGAATACCCACAAAACACACAAATCGAAAACAACAACAATCTCTCTCTCTCTCTCTCTCTGTCTCACTCTCTGTGTTTTGTTTGATTTTGCTTGCACGTCATGGGCATAAATAAAACCGGACTTCCGTTCATCGTCCATCTTGTACTCACTGTCGGTCTTGTCTTTCTCTTTTATTTCTGTCTCTCTCTTGGAAAGTAGCGGGCGCAGGTGATACCAACGTACACGGGTTGGACCCCAATACGAACGTGAACAGCCAGCCCTCCGACACGAAGAGCAGCGATCACAGGCCCAACGGCAACGAGGTGGTCATCATGAGCGAGGACGATCGCACGTCGAGTTTCTTCTCGCAGCCGGGCATCCTGGCTGGTAAGTATACTAATATATATCTTAAAAGTGGATATAGATTTTGAGAAATTAGCATTACTTTTGGGTTTATTTATAATTTAAGAGTTTTAATAGAACTGGCTTAACATTCTCAATTGAGTTAAAGGGTAACACTGCGTATACGTGATTTCTTCAAACTAAATTGAAAATCTGAAGGACATAACTTGGCCAAATAGCCACTAATAGCCACAAGGCATATATATTCTGAATCGTCATTAAATTCTGAATTTTCTAAAATTAAAAAATTGAGAAATAAAATTTTTTAAATTTTTGACAATTTTTGAAAATTTTAAAAGGGGTTACATCATTAAAATTTTCAAAAATTGATAAAAAATTTAATTTTCAAAAAAGTATGCAGATTTTTAAAGCTCATAAAAACTAACACAGAAAAGCTTGCCGAATTGAAATTAATGCTTTTTTGGCTTAGTTATGGGTTTTTTAAATATCAATAAATATAGATTTTTATTTAATATCGAAAAATAACTATAACTGCGATTATCCATATCCCCCACCTCTTTCCAAGATCCACCTTTAAGATCCAAATAATAAAACCAAAGTTGTAAATCGTTTTAATAATATTTTATTCTCATTTACAGCTGTCATTGGTGGTGCCGTTGTTGGCCTGCTCTGCGCCATACTCGTGGTGATGTTCATCGTGTACCGCATGAGGAAAAAGGACGAGGGATCCTATGCGCTGGACGAACCCAAGCGCTCGCCGGCCAACAATTCGTATGCGAAAAACGCGAACAATCGCGAGTTTTACGCCTGAGATAATGGTACAGCGCGCAGGTATTAAGTTGGCCACTTGGCCAGGAGCGGGACCGAACTGCAAGGACGACGAGGGCAAGGACGACGACTGGATGAGGACGAAGTAGCGGTGGAGGAGACGCGAGTGAAGATAGAAGAGCGACTGGGTTTGGTTGGGCTCAACTGAATACACTGTGCGGAGTGGCAGTGCGACGTCATCAGCAGGACCACTGAAACAAGGATAATTCATTGTCCGCAGCAGCAGCAGGAGCAGCAAAACTAACACACAAAAAAACAAAACCAATTGAAAATCGCAAAACATTTTCAAATCACACAATTTTTCGTGAGGGGTAAATAAAAACAAAAAACCATAAAAATAAAAATCAGCGAAATAATAACAAAAGGAAAAAGAAAACAAACAAAAAAAAAATTGAAAACTTACCTGTAAGTTAATGCAAAATATGCACACACACAGACGGACAGGTGACTCTCTCTGCGTGTGTGTGTGTGTGTGTGACTTTTCTAATTAAGTAAGTTTTAAGCGAGAAAAACAAACGGAAATATCAAATATAAATTGCAAGTAAATCATGCGAAATTTAATATATATAAATAATATATTATATATAAATAGTGAAACCAATATAAGGGCGGGCAAAATTAAGCGAATTAATTATGAATTACGAGTATGTAGAGCAAACGCGGAAGGAGAGAGGAAGGAGTAGAAGCAGGAGCAGAAAATTGAATAATAATAATACCTATAATAATAATTAAAACACACACACACGCGCATCCGACTACATAGATGTAAAGGGCAACTTTCGTGCATATTTGAATATAAATGTATGGATTATATATGTTAGCTGAATAACGAAACGAAAGCGAATTGGATACATCACGATTATCTCTCAATAGACCCCTCTTCGAACCAAACACACACACACACCGCACACCACACTTAACACACTCTTTATTTCAACTCAGCCGTGTTTTGTCACCATTAATTAATTAATACAAACAAAGTCCAATGAGAATAATTATTATAATTATGAATTGTGCGGCACATGAAGCAAACGAAAATCGATGCATAAATGTTTTTAAGTTATACATAAGAAAAACTATGTAATTATTAGTGTAATTCCTAAAACAAAACAAACAAACAAAAAAAGAAAAGAAAAAAACGAAAAATACTAAATCAAGCAAAGAACAGATTACGAAACACTCTGAACTCTGAACTCGGAACCTTCCTGGCAACTATATACAAAAAAAAGAAATGAAATGAAGATACCAATTTCTACTTTTTTCTACAAACAAAAAAAAAACACCAAAACCACGATGAATATTTATTGAAAATTGGTAAAATCAAACTACGAACAGGAAATGAAATTGAAAATAATAATGACGAAGAGGAATCGTGTTATGAATGCAATTGTACATTAATTTTTTGGGTTTCCCCATTGGGTTTTCGAGTTATTCGAGACTTTCTTCGCTTGACTCAACTGCTTCTTCCATGGCTAAGAATCAAAATCGGATTAACGCATTGATTATTGTGCATTTATTTAGTTTTTACGTTCGCTGTTGTCTCATTTGACAATTGTTTAGTTTTGCAAGCAAAATACAAAATACAAAAGCGAAGTACGAACGCCGCAAATCATAACAAACAAAAAAAAAACAACATGCAATAGTGAAAATTAATTGTTAAGTTTACCGCAAAATCCATTAAAAATGCCAGCCAGCCAGCAGTCCAGCAACAAATGTTATAAACACAGCCACACACCACCACCACTCACACACACACACAAACTCAACCACAATCAACAAATTAGCTGCAATACTTGTTTAATTGTTAGTCAACCGATAATACAATATATTCTCCTCCAACTCTCATGCCATATTTTCATTGCGAAAGAATGATAAAAGATACAAAAAAAGAAAAACACAAAAAAATGGAAACGAAAACGAAAACTAATATATAACATTTAAGTATATAATTAGCGACATAAATCAATTGTGTGTGTAACTGTGTATAATGCATAAATAATGAAATCAAACTACTTTTGACAGCAGAGAGCGCATAACAAAGGGAAATTCGAACATCATTGCAACACACAAAACAATACAATTTTCCCCCATGCTCCCCCCTTCCGAAAACCAAAAACTTAAACTCACACTAAAAACAATCTGAACACAGGATGCAAACAACATTTTTCCCTATAACATACACACAACTTTTTCTACACTGTAAAAAACGCAACCGCAACCTTAAACCTTTTTTGATATATACTGTAAAAGTACTATGTTTGTGTCCTATACTCTCGACCCATAGTACGTTTTTGTCAGATTTTACATCAAGTTTTTTTGCTACTTTGTAAGCGTTTAGTTTGTTAGTTTTTTTAAAAATGCGCTGAATGTACTGAGAAATTGGTTTTGATTTGCTAAATAAAACTGGTATATAAAACTAATTTAAACAAAACAATATACTCTTTATTTCCTGGCTGGATTTGCCTTACAGATTAGCCTTCATCAGGGGCTTGAGGTAGGTTTCAAAGGACTTTTGGACGGGCTTTTGGTTCATGGTGCTGCGCTTGGCCGAATCAAAGAGTCGGGGATACACATTGCCATCGTAGCTGCCCAGCACGGAGTTTAAAACGCGGTCGTGGAACTCGAAGCCATCGCAAATGGCCACCGCATTGGGTCGGAATTTCTCCAGCGAAATCTCCAAGCGCTTTTGCAGCGACCTCAAATCAGCATCACTGAGGTTGATGAACTATAACAGAGCAGGGAGATTATTGATAATTAATTATTATTGTTTAAAGCCTGGCTTACTCTCAGAATATCATTAAGATTGTTGAGCACAGTCTGGACCAGGAAGAGTTCTAGCACATTCTCCAAAACCTTGTTGAGAGCCGCCGAACGTTTCTGGGCCTTGGGACCTGTGATTTGCTCTAGGAATGTCTGGCACACAAACTGGCGGCCATGGAGCTATGTAAATTAAGTTAAAAAGTGTTAAAATAAATATATTTAAGTAAAATATTCTTCAAATTTGTTTACCTCAGCGGCACGAGTAAGCTCTATGCCCGTATTGTTGGCCGCCACACCCTGAGACTGACCGCTGGCCATGCGTTCCGCTAGATTCTCAAAAGCAATGCGGGTTTTTCTATCAATAAAAAATCTCATCATCTGCATTAAAAGGTACATATTCAACTCAAACTTACTGTGCTGCCGTATATTGCAGAGCCTTGATGATGCACTGCCAGGAGTTGTCCCACTTGGGGAACTCCTTCAGCTGCATGGAGCTGGCAAAGTAACTATAAGAAGCCGACACGGGTTTCTTCTCCACAAATGCAGCCCAGGCCTTGACCAGAGCTCGACCAATTTGCAGAAGCAGCACTGTGTTCTCACCCTCGTAGGTGTAGGCAGCCACAGCATTGCCATAGATATTGCTCATGTTGGCAGCTGTGAGATAACCATGACCTCCAGTGGAAAGACGCAGACGCTCAATGCCGGCACAACCGTCCGTGGTACAGAGAACCTTCAAGGCGCAGGACAGGATGTGCATATCGGGCAGGCGATCAAATTTGCCGCTGTTGGCCTCCTTGACCGTCTGGGCATACATCTCCCACATGTACTCCGCAGCCAGATGATAAGCCATTCCAGTGGCAATCTCGGGGAAGAGCTTCAGGCGCTGAGTAACATGATCAATGATCTGGGGCTCGGGTTGGCTGTAGGGATAAGCTTTTGTTTAAAAAAAGGAAAAGAAACAAGTTATCCAGCAAAACTCACTTGGCCTCAATGGGACTCTGTCTCCTGACAGCCGAGTATCGGGTGGCTATGGTGGCCGCCTCCAGCAGCAGCGTAGAGTTCAGATTCACAATCAAGCAGCGAGTGTAAACCATGGTCAGGTAGTTAACCCTTGAGGCTGGACTGGCCTTGAAGGTGCCATCGCGCTCAACCTTGGCGAACTTCATCAGCATGTTGGTGCGTGGAATGCGAACTTTGTTGAGTCCCAGAAAGCCCTGGTTCACAGCCACCATGCCCAGCTTCTTGCCAATCTCGCCAATATCAATACCAGGCAGTGGCATATGGGTCTCCGAATCCCTCACCGGGACAATGAACATTTGCACACCGTGATGGACATCGGCTATGTACAGCTGGGCAACAACCATGGCATGATTGGCAGTGTGACCCACTAAAAATACAAAAAAATAGTAAAATAAAACTAGCATCTCCATTTAAGTTACTCACAGCCGCCAGGCCACCACTTGTAGGCCTCTAAATTGGGTGTATGCAACACAAACTCATCCGTTTGGGGATCAAAGTCAGCACGGGTGGCAATGCCACGGACATTAGTTCCATGTGCCATCTCAGTCTGGGCATAGGTTCCAATAATATTGCAGTTCTCCGCCGCCTTGCCCCACTTTTCCACTTGCTCAGCAGTGCCCTGTCCCTTGATCACATCCACAAACATGGTGATGTGGGTGGCCACCGGATGGTTAGAAGGAAAAAGCCCATGGCTCTGCACATTGAACAAGAATCCACTACAAAGAAGAAAGATAAGATATTAGGGGATCCCCTTTGGAAAGTCTAGATTGATTCTTACGGCCAGATGTCAGTGCCACCGGGATTGAGTTTGTTCTGCAGAGCCTTTAGCTTGACGGCAGCCTCGGCCACCTTCTTGACACTAGAGTTGTAGACTTCCTCGTGGGACATGTACTCGTGGTTGATGCCATAGCCATCCTCCAGATCGCTGAAGATGGCCTTTTCTGTTGGAAAAATGAACAAGAACAGGAATTAAACAAGAAATCAATATTTTTGTAAAAATCAAATCTTTTAAATATCATAACTAAGTCAAAAATTGATTAATTTCAATTCGGAAAACTGATTTATGCTAGTTTTTAATGGGTTAACAAATTAGCATATTAAATTTAAAATTTTAAAAAATTAAATTTTCTTTCAATTTTTGAAAATTTTAATGATGTAACCCCTTTGAAAATTTTCAAAAATTGAAAAAAATTTTAAATTTGTATTTTTCAATATTTTATGATTAGATTATTCAGAATTTCATGAAGAATCGAAATATATATGTTTTTTGGCAATCAGTGGCTTTTTTGCCAAGTTATGGCATTCAGAGGACCCCTAAAAGTCGCAAAAATGTCACTTTCGCTGCTTTGCAAACCTCTGATTATTATTAGTATACCCTCCTAAAATATATACACACACTCGCTGATAAGTTATATACAATTTGTCACTTTCTATTAATCGCTCAATCGGGGCAGTAGTTCCAATTCTAAAGGTTTCCCTGCCTACAATGTTATCACCTGAAGGCGTGGATGAGCCCCTTTTGGAGCTGATAAGAAACCTGGGAGCGTTGCAATGGCTTGTTATCAAAAATAGCGTTACTAGTGTCATTATCTTTTATTATTGATATAGCCAACACCAATAATTCTGCACTACAACAATGTATAATTATTTTTTTGGACTTTGCGGCCCGTGGATGAACTCTTTGGACTCTGATTCTTGGGCTGGACGAAAAGAAGCTCGGAAGACCAAAACCGGACCGAAGCATTTATCACGTAGACCGGTAAGACTCTAATGATGCTTATCTACGATACTCACCAATCTCCCTCTTGGTGTTTAACTTGTCCTGACCCCCCTGCCACCAGGCTGCAAACTCCTCCACCTGGAACTCGGCGCCAGTGCGCTCCTTCTGCAGATCTGGATTTACAGTCTCCGGTATCAAGTTCTTGATGTGCGACATTGTTTGTGCAAAATTGTTAACAAAATAATATCAAAATAAGTAAAATTCCCAGAGGGGAGATCCAACCAACAGCTGTGAGCTCGAAGCGACCACTGAGCGAAAGTGGATCGTGCGGCGGAAAGGAAAAGCTTTTGGGGGGCAAAGTGCACTTAACAGCTTTTTAAAGAGAGATAGCTAAACCACGCATTTTGGTTAAGAGAAAACATTCCAGCATTAACAGAGAGAGAAACCTATGCTGATAATAAAACATTTAAGAGTATTCTTTAAAAGAATAGTAAACATTTTTTTTAAATTTTTATTTTTATTATTTTTTTTATTTTATTTTTATTATTTTTAATTTCGCAAAAAAACACCAATACAAAGGGTACAATAATATTGCATACTCATCGTGCTAGGCACTAAATATTACAGATTAATTTAGATGTTTGACTTCATGAAAGGCTTGAGCAGCTCATTGAAGGATTTTGGTACTGATTTCTGGTTCATTGGGGTCTTCAGAGCAGCATCGAACATGCGCTCGTAGGCATTGCCATCGAACGATCCCAGGGTGGAGTTCAGCTGCAGGTCACTGAAGTCGAAGCCATCCACAATGGCCACAGCATCTGGTCGCAGCTTGGTCAGCACGGTTTCCAAACGATCCTGCAGGATGCGTAGATCCGTATCCGTCAGTTGAATAAACTGTAAGAGTGGAAGAGTAATATTAATATGCTTTCTAATTACCGAAACTCCAACTTACCCTCAGCAAATTGCTCATTTGGTTCAGGGTCTCCTTGACCAAATACAGCTCTAAAAGGTTCTCCAAAACTCGATTGAGAGATGCAGATCGGGTCTTGGACTTGGGTCCAGTCACCTCATCGGTGAAAGAGGAAAACACGAACGCGCGACCATGAAGCTAAAGGTAACCAAGCGAGAAAGATGTATAGTGATTAACAATAGTTCAAAGTCCATTAAAAGTTGGTAAACTAACCTCAGCTGCCTGTGTAAATTCAATCCCTGTGTGATTTGCCGCATTCTCCTCGGTTTCTCCCCTTGACAAGCGAGCCGAAAGGCTCTTGAAAGCCAAGCGAGTCTTACTGCAATATTATTTACGTTGAAAAAGGATTCAGTTTAGTCATTCATCTTAACTCACTTGGCTGCTGTGTACTTCATGGCCTTCACCATGTTCTCCCAGCTGCCTGTCCAGGTGCCAAAATCTGGATTCTTTTGCACTTCGGCCAGGTATTGAACGGTGGGCGCCAAAGGTGCTCCACTCAACGCCGAGCGCCAGGACTTCATCAAGAAGCGTCCAATCTGGAGAAGGAGCACAGTGTTCTCACCCTCGTAAGTGCAGGCTGCGGTGGCCAGCACATAGAGGTTGCTCATGTTGGACGAGGAGAGGTAACCATGGCCTCCACAGCCCAGACGCAATCTCTCCACTCCGGCAGCAGAGTCCGAGGAGCAGGTCACCTTTAGGGCGCACGATAAGGAATGCAATTCCGGCAGGCGCTCGTACTTGCCGTTTTCTATATCCGACAGGGTCACATCGTAAAGATTCCACAAATAATCGCTGGCCAGGTGATAAGCCAAGCTGGTGGCAATCTCAGGGAAGAGTTTCATCTGCTGGGTGACATGATCCATGATCTGTGGTTCACGTTCCCTAAAAGACATACAAAATAATGTGATTTCTGGATTAAAATTATATAGCCTTAACTTACTTCGGATTAATGGGACTCTGGCGACGCACAGCCGAGTATCTGGTGGCAATGGTGGAGGCTGCTGCCAGCACATAAGCATTATTCTTTGCAATCACGCAGCGCGTGCGCACCATGGCAAAGTAGGTGAGGACATTTGTGGGACTGCTGACATAGGTTCCATCGGCATTGACCTTGGCATGTCGCATCAGCATCCGAGTGCGAGGAATGCGGACGTTCTTCAGTCCAAGGAAACCATTGTTCACACCAATAAAGCCCATTTTCTTGCCAATGTCACCGATGTGGACACCGGGAAGCGGCTCAAACGTCTCCTCATCGCGCACCTGGACAAAGAACATGTGCGGTCCTTTGAACTGGTTGTTGATATACAGCTGAGCCATCACAAGGCAGTAGTTGGAGGAGTGACCCACTGCAGGAGATGAGACATAAAAGAGACTTGCAGCAAAAAAGAGTTATTCAAACTCACAGCCTCCTGGCCACCACTTGTAGGAGGAGAGCTTGGGCGTATTCAGCACAAACTCATCCGTCTTGGGATCAAAGTCTGCCCGGGTCTCCAGGCCTCGCAGGAAGGTTCCGTGTCCCAGCTCCGTTTGGGCATAAGTGCCACAGATCTCAAAGCGCTCCACTCGCTTGCCGAACTCTTCGTACTGCTCTGGAGTGCACTGTGCCTGCAGGGCCTTGACCAGCATCACGTACATCACGCCAAAGGGATTGCCACCAGGGACGAGGCCCCACATCACAGGGTGATCATAGAGTTTACTAAAAAAAAAAAAGGAGGTACAATTCAGGAATTACTTAAAAACTTGAGCTAGTCAGAGGAACCCTACGGCCAGTAATCGTCTCCTCCTGGATTGCGCTCCTGCTGCAGGCGTCGCAGCTTCTGAGCCGCTTCGATGGCGCTGCGCTGGCTAAACTCGTTGATTTCCACATGCGACTTAGCCTGCAGTTGCAGCATCTCGCCCTGGTCCACATCCTTCTGCATATATGCACCTGCCCATAGAAAATAGCACCGTCAGCATGACCTTCAAGTTGTTTATTGGCTTGGAACTGATTAGCGGATGATTAGTTTTATGGACTCACGGACTTCCCGGTTGAACTTTAGCACATTCTCGCCCTTAGACCACCAGGCGGCAAATTCCTCGCTGCTAAAGCTGGCTCCATCGCGTTCCTTTTGCAAGTCGGGATTAACGGTAGCGGGAATTATGGATTTGGGTGTGCTGGTCATTGTAACTTAGTGATCGCCAGAGCAAAACTGCCTTCCAAGAGAACCGATCGCCGACTGAAGCTTCATCGGCGGCGGCTCTTACTTTATAAAAGTGAAAACGGTCAGTAAACTTTGCTCGGTTCGCCCGCTCTTTCAACTGCTTTCCTCTATGCTGGTGGGATTTTTAAGAGCATTATTTGGCACACCGTTATCTATAGGAGCGCCCGACCGTAGGTCCAATTCTAAAAGCACTAGAGATAGAGATTTTACTACTTAATCACCGAGATAAGTAGTTTACAAAGGCATAGAGATAGTTGTGTTTGGTTTAGATTACCCTAACAGCTGTTAGAGTAAGAATTAGAACAGAAGATTTAGACCAGACTGCTGATCGTGGTTAACAGGCGATATCGATAGAAATTTGACCCACTGTTAACAAAAGTTAGTTATCAATAAGTTATCGGCTTTTAAAATTCGAATTCACAATTTGGCAGTTAAATTTATGATTTTTCTTGTTTTTATTTAGGAAAACCAATATTAAATCAAATAAAATAACACTATTTTAATTAATTTCCATATATAAAATATTGTGCTTAGCACTAAATATTTGACTTCATGAAGGGCTTGAGCATCTCATTGAAGGACTTCGGTACTGATTTCTGGTTCATTGGGGTGTTGAGGGCAGCATCGAACATGCGCTCGTAGACATTGCCATCGAACGATCCCAGGGTAGAGTTCAGCTGCAGGTCACTGAAGTCAAAGCCATCCACAATAGCCACAGCATCAGGTCGCAGCTTGGTCAACACGGTTTCCAAACGATCCTGCAGCCTGCGTAGATCCGTATCCGTCAGTTGAATAAACTGTAAGATTGAGAGAGTAATATTAATCTTCTTTCTAATCACAGAAGCTCCAACTTACCCTCAGCAAATTGCTCATTTGGTTCAAGGTCTCCTTGACCAGATACAACTCCAAAAGGTTCTCCAGAACACAATTAAGAGATGCAGATCGGGTCTGGGACTTGGGTCCAGTCACCTCATCAGTGAAAGAGGAGAAAACGAACGCGCGACCATGAAGCTGAAGGTAACCAAGCGAGAGAGATGTTTAGTCATTACCAATAGTTCAAAGTCCATTTAAAGTTGGTAAACTAACCTCAGCTGCCTGGGTAAATTCAATCCCTGTGTGATTTGCCGCATTCTCCTCGGTTTCTCCTCTTGACAAGCGAGCCAAAAGGCTCTTGAAAGCCAAGCGAGTCTTGCTGCAATATTATTTAACTTAAAAAAGGATTAACTCTAGCCATATTATCTTAACTCACTTGGCTGCTGTGTACTTCATTGCCTTCACCATGTTCTCCCAGCTGCCTGTCCAGGTGCCAAAATCTGGATTCTTCTGCACTTCGGCCAGGTATTGAACGGTGGGCGCCAAAGGAGCTCCACTCAACGCCGAGCGCCAGGACTTCATCAAGAAGCGTCCAATCTGGAGAAGGAGCACAGTGTTCTCACCCTCGTAAGTGCAGGCTGCGGTGGCCAGCGCATAAAAGTTGCTCATGTTGGAAGAGGAGAGGTAACCGTGGCCGCCACAGCCCAGACGCAATCTCTCCACTCCGGCGGCTGAATCGACGGCGCTGGTTACCTTCAAAGCACAGGACAGGGAATGCAGCTCAGGCAGGCGTTCATATTTTCCATTTTCAATGTCCTTAATGGTCTGTTCATAGAGATTCCATAGATAATCGCTACTCATGGCATAAGCTAAGCTGGTGGCGATCTCCGGAAAGAGTTTCATCTGCTGGGTGACATGATCCATGATCTGTGGCTCTCGTTCTCTGGAAGCCGGAAGATTGTGCTGGTTTGGAATATTAATCTAGCTGTTTACTAAAACTCACTTGGGATTTATGGGACTTTGGCGACGAACGGCAGAGTATCTAGTGGCAATGGTGGCAGCCGCCGCCAGATATGCGGCATTATTCCGGACAATCAAACACCGGGAGCGAACCATGGCAAAGTAGTTGAGCACACTATTCGGACTGCTGACAAAGGATCCATCGGCATTAACCTTGGCATAGCGCATCAGCATGCGCGTGCGTGGAATCCTCACATTCTTCAGGCCCAGGAAACCATGGTTCGTTCCAATATAGCCCATCTTTTTGCCAATGTCACCGATGTGGACACCTGGAAGGGGCTCAAACGTCTCCTCATCGCGCACCTGGACGAAGAACATGTGTGGGCCCTTGAACTGACCATTGATATACAGCTGCGCCATCACCAAGCAGTAGTTGCAGCATTGGCCCACTGCAGGAGATTAAACATAAGTAAAAGTTGAGTTACAAACGGCTATATGAACTTACAGCCTGCTGCCCACCACTTGTAGGAGGATATCTTGGGCGTATTTAGCACAAACTCATCTGTTTTCGGATCGTAATCAGCCCGTGTTTCGAGTCCTCGCAAATAAGTTCCGTGTCCCAGTTCTGTTTGGGCATAGGTGGCAGAAATCTCGAAGCGTTCCACCCGTTTCCCGAAATCCTCGTACTGCTCTGGAGTGCAATGTGCCTGCAAAGCTTTGACCAGCATCACGTACATCACGCTGAAGGGATTTCCTCCTGGCACAAGGCACCACATGACTGGCTGTTCATAAAGGTTTCTAAGTGATATAGAGGTATTTCCTAGGATTAGTTAGGAAGCTTGAGGGGTATCCTTTGAGAAACACCCACGGCCAGTACTCATTTCCGCCGGGATTCCGCTCCTGTTGCAGGCAACGCAGCTTCTGGGCGGCTTCGAGGGCAGCTCGCATGGTGAACTCGTTGATTTCCTCGTGGGATTTGGCCTCCAATTTCATCACTTCATTCAGGTCCACATCCTTTTCTAAATAGGAACCTGGCAAGGAAAATAGGTCAAGTCTGGAGTTTTTAAGGGATGTGATCGTGGTGGTTGACTTACGGACTTCCCGGTTAAATTTTAGAATCTCCTTTCCGCCCGCCCACCAAGCGGCAAATTCCTCAGTGCTGAGGCTCGCTCCATCCCGTTCCTTCTGCAGATCAGGATTAACGGTTATAGGGACAACTAAAGTAGGGGTCATTGTGGAGAAGGTTTAACCACGAAGCTAGCCAAATGGCAACTAAAGGCTCCCGACTAGGTTTGTCTACATAAATAAACTAATGCGGTGTTTGTCGTTCAATTGCTGATCATAAATAAGTTTATGTGGCTTTTATCGTTTGATTACATGGGCCTGCATTTAAAAATACTTTCGGTTTCAATAACAAATGTATTTATTATTAGTACTATCAATTTAGAGTGCGTCACTAGTGATGCGAAGTGGTAAACAAAACAAGATATATAAATTAAAAATTATTAGTTTTTTTTTAAATGTATACAACTTTTTTGTACTTAAGTAATTTATGTTTTAATCACTTCGAAAGGCTTAAAATCTACATAAAATTTTTATTTAAACCCGGAAAAATGTTCCCCTGTTAATTAACATAAGTAGCTATCGATATCGCAGCTATCGGTAGTGTGTCATCTCAATTATAGTTTGTTTTGGTTTTCGCTTAGCATATGATTCGTGCTTTTCCGATGGTTTTAATTAATAAAAATGCCTATAAACTTTAATATTGGCCTGCTGGGCCATGTAGACAGTGGAAAGACAACCTTGGCCAAGGCCTTGAGCTCCATATCGAGCACAGCGGCCTTTGACAAGAATCCGCAGTCGGTGGAACGTGGAATTACGTTGGATTTGGGTTTCAGCGGCACTGCAGCGGAAGGACCGCAAAGAGAGCAGCTGCAGTTCACCTTCGTAGATTGCCCCGGCCATGCGAGTCTGATACGCACTATTATAGGAGGTTTGTAAATGGATTTACCAATGGAATAGTTATTTAATAACCCACTTTTAGGTGCTCAAATCATTGATCTCATGGTGCTCGTGGTCGATGCCCAGAAGGGCATCCAAACTCAGACGGCCGAATGCCTAATCATTGGAGAGCTCCTGCAGAAGAAGCTGATTGTGGTCATCAATAAGATAGATGTGTTCCCAGCGGATCAGAGGGAGGCAAAGCTGGAGAAGCTACGCCTGCGCCTACGTAAGACCTTGGAAGCCACAAGCTTTGGTAGACAGGTGCCCATGTACGCAGTCTCTGCTCTGGAAGGAATCAACATTCAGGAGTTAAGAAATGGTCTGAGTGAGGCCTACTTTCAGCCGGAAAGGAATGTTTCGGCCCCCTTGCTGATGTACGTGGATCATTGCTTTGGCATCAGAGGCCAAGGAACCGTTTGCACGGGCACCTTGCTCCAGGGAAAAGTGCAAGTCAACGATATGATAGAGCTGCCAGCATTGAATGAGCAGCGGAAGGTGAAATCCATGCAGATGTTCCGGCAGAATGTGACCAGTGCCTCCATGGGCGATCGCATTGGCCTGTGCGTTACCCAGTTTAATGCGAAGCTCCTGGAGCGTGGAGTAATCTCCAACCCTGGCTATCTCAAACCCATTTATGCAGTGTGCCTGCAACTCAAGCCGATTCGTTACTACAAGCAGGCCATAAAATCCAAGAGTAAGCTCCATGTCTCTGTGGGTCATGACACGGTTATGGCCAATGTGACATTGTTTCGAGATACGGACCCATCACCGGACTTTCAACTGAACAGAGAGTATGAGTATGTGGAGGAGCTGCTGCCAGCAGATACTTCACCCAACGATGTAATCTTTGCCCTGCTGGAGTTTGAAAGCCCTGTTTTGGCCCCTCCGAACTCAACGCTGATTGCCTCCAAGCTGGACATGGATGTGCACAGCAGCAGCTGTAGATTGGCTTTCTGGGGTCGCATGTCCTGGCAGGCGCAGAGCGTCAACTACGCCCACGAAGTGCTACCTCAGTTAAAAATCTTCAAACGCAAGCAGAAAGTGGGAAGCATTCAGAGAGTGGTTAATGCCAACGAAGTGATTGTGCAGAATCTCTTTAAGAAGGAGGCGAAACGAGAACTTTATGTTGGAAAGGCGGTGGAGCTGTCCACGGGAGAAAGAGGACGCATCGATCGAACTTTTGGCCAGACCTCAAAGGTGGCCATTGCCTTCCAGGATTCCCTTTCCCCAGAAACAATAACCAATGTCAAAGATGTGCAAGTTTTGTTGAACTGTAAAAAGTATGTGTTTAATAAACAAGCGGGACTATTTCAGTGACAAATTATTAACAAGTGGTTTTAAAATGTTTAAAATTTAAATACTCCGCGCATTTGACAATTACATGAGCTATCGATATTTGTACTAAACTTAACAGCGGCTGTCGACTAACAGAGTGGCTTTAACAGAAGCGTTTTTATTTTTTAACGGTTTGCCGTATTTTTTTTAGAACACTTCCCCTATCGCTATTCAGTATATATCCCAGCCAAGGCGCACGGTCACACTGCATGATGAGTCCAAACAACAACAAATTGCTAAAATTGCTAAAATAACAAACAAAACATCGAAACGGAAACGTAAAATCGAAGAGTCCCCGTGTCAAAGCTCAGCCTGCTAATTGCCAGTGCAGCCACCGCCAAATCTGCACCATAACCACCCAGAACAGAGGCCAAATCCACCATCAATGTGCTGCAGTGCCGCATTTCCACTGATCCCGCTGCTGCTCCTCCTTCTCTCCTTCGCCACTACAACGCACGAGGTGAATGTCGACTGCAACGAGCTGCGGATGATGGGCCAGTTCATGTGCCCGGATCCCGGCCGAAACCACATCGATCCCAAGACTCAGCAGCTGAGAGGTTGCACAAAGGAGGGCCGCGCCCGCGTTTGGTGCATTGCCGCCGACGAGATAAACTGCACGGAAACGGGCAACGCCACCTTCACCCGCGAAGTGCCCTGCAAGTGGACGTGGGTATTGCTCAGTTCCCTTAAAAACTCAACTCTCACAGATCGTTTTTTGTTTAGGAACGGCTACCACCTGGACACCACACTGCTGCTGTCCGTTTTCCTGGGCATGTTCGGCGTGGACCGCTTCTACCTCGGCTATCCGGGCATCGGCCTGCTCAAGTTCTGCACCCTCGGCGGCATGTTCCTGGGCCAGCTCATTGACATCGTGCTGATTGCCCTGCAGGTTGTGGGACCGGCGGATGGCTCCGCCTATGTTATACCCTACTACGGTGCCGGCATTCATATTGTGCGCAGCGACAACACCACGTATCGAATGCCCAGAAACGACTGGTGATGGTTAAGGCGGCACAGCGCCTGGTGTACAGTAGATCACTTTAAGTCCTTGTTATACCTTAAGTACGGCTTATGACACTAACCGTAAGCAACGACTGAGAAGCTCCGCCGCGGAGCGAGATTCGGATAACAGAATACAGATTAGTGCATTACGCGGACCCTAGTTGATAAGTGTAAAGATTGTTGCCACCTTTGCGTAGCCTAAGTTGCATTGTTTAGTCTTAGTTACCACTGTACATGGTCCCCCATACACTCTACATCTGTATTGTAAATGTATAGGCCGCATAGACAAATTGTTTGCCAATATAACTAACGATTTTAATCAGTCTTGGTCTCCCGTGTCTCATTTTTTGCATCCCGGGAACAAAGCTACTAATTGGCCGACTTGTACTTTGATCTGATCTCTCGAACCTTTTTCGGCGTGACATCCCGCGTGGTTGACTCATCGTTAGCTAGCCAGCGCTAATCGACACACACCGGGAATCCGAATGGGAAGCTTGAGAGGAGGAGAAGAAGTTTGGGTGCATTTTCTTTGTTGGCCCTTTCATCTGATTGGCATTTCCGATATAATCAGCGGCAACGCATCAGCCAACCGGCGAGCTGTTCGATTTTAATTGCACGGCCCGAATGCCCCGTGTAACTCGATGCGTTTTAATTAGGCTCTCAATTAAGATCAAGTTTGGTTTTATCTCGAACAAGAAAGAAAGCTAACTTTGGCCAGCCAAAGTTTGTATACCCTTGCAGGTAACAATTAAAATATATCATAACTAAGCCAAAAACGCATTAATTTCGATTCGGAAAGCAGTTTTGTGTTAGTTTCTATTAATTTAAAAAAACTGCATACCAAATTTAAAATTTTAAGAAATAAAAATTTTTGGGCATTTTAGCTAATTTTAATGATGTAACCCCTTATCAAATTTCTCAAAAATGGCCAAAAAATCGATTTCTTCCGGACATGTCTAGAAAGATTCCGCTGTTAATGCTGATCAAGAATATATATGGTTTATGGGGTCGAAAATGATTCCTTGACTTAGAAAAATATTATTTTGTATTATAAAATTGGATTTTTATACCCTTATATTATAATTTCAGTCAGAAGTTTGCAACGCAGTGAAGGAGACCTTTCCCACCCTATAAAGTATATATATTCTTGATCAGCATCAACAGCTGAGTCGATCTAGTCATGTCCGTCCGTCCGCCTGTCCGTTTCTACGCAAACTAGTCCCTCAGTTTTAAAGCTATCTATGTATATGAAACTTGGCATATAGTCTTCTATATACTCTCACTGCTATATATATCTGGGCGGGGCGGATCGGACGACTATACCATATAACTGCCATACAATTGTTCGATAAATTTTGAGAACAAAAATTATTACTTGGCTGTTTGGTGAAATCAATGTGCAATTTTTTTGTGAAGGCGGCATTTATTTGGGATCGCTTGGGGAAAAATCTAATTATTTTGAAAGCAAAATCTAAATTTTTTAATTTGTTTTCTGAATTTTAAACATTTTTTTCGGATGTTTTACAATTCTTCTAAATTTTTATAAAATTGTTCTAAATTTTAAAAATTGTTCGGAATTTGAAATTTTTTTTCTGAATTTTTAACATTTTTTAGATTTTTTATATTTATTTAAGATTTTTTTTAGAATTAAACAAATTTTTTAAAATATTTTAACTGCCAAATTTGAATTTAACTGCCAAATTTGAATTTGAATTTAATGACGATCAGTTTCAGTGTGCCCAGGTGCAGTTGTAAAATAACACCTAAATTTGGATTCAAAAGGTTTGAGTCTCCGCTAACTTGCGCCGGCTCCTAAATGGTTTGAAACTTGGACATTTTATAACAGTTTATACCAGTTTTCAGCAGCTTGCTGCTGATTTCTGTTCGCCTGTTACCCCAATTTGGAAAACTGGCAATTTGCTTGGAAATGTTCGGAAATTTGGATGGGCTGCTGTAGGGATGTTGTTGTAAAAAGGTTGTTGTTGCCATAAGCTGTTGTTGTCGGCAACAAATAGGTATAAATGCATAAAATGAAATATAACAGTTTATACCAATTATTATTTTTGCCCAAATGTTTTTATAACAGTTTATACCAGTTTTCAGTCGCTTGCTGCTGGTTTCTGTTCGGCTGTTACCCCAGTTTGGAAAGCGGCCAATTTGAATGAAAAGTTTTGCTCACTGGCATCAGTGATGCTCATCTGCATCAGTGATGCTCATCTGGCTATGTTTCAATATTGGAGGGCAATAAAGTCGGGCTTAATGGCAGTGGTGCGCATGTGGATCAGTGATGATCATCTAGCTATTTTGCATTATTGGGACAAAATGGCATCTCACTAACTACCAATGATGAGCATCACTGATGGAAGTGAGCATCACTGATGGAAGTGAGCATCACTGATGGAAGTGAGCATCACTGATGGAAGTGAGCATCACTGATGGAAGTGAGCATCACTGATGGAAGTGAGCATCACTGATGGAAGTGAGCATCACTGATGGAAGTGAGCATCACTGATGGAAGTGAGCATCACTGATGGAAGTGAGCATCACTGATGCCAGTGAGCATCACTGATGGAAGTGAGCATCACTGATGGAAGTGAGCATCACTGATGGAAGTGAGCATCACTGATGGAAGTGAGCATCACTGATGCCAGTGAGCATCACTGATGGAAGTGAGCATCACTGATGGAAGTGAGCATCACTGATGCCAGTGAGCAAAACTTTTCATTCAAATTGGCCGCTTTCCAAACTGGGGTAACAGCCGAACAGAAACCAGCAGCAAGCGACTGAAAACTGGTATAAACTGTTATAAAAACATTTGGGCAAAAATAATAATTGGTATAAACTGTTATATTTCATTTTATGCATTTATACCTATTTGTTGCCGACAACAACAGCTTATGGCAACAACAACCTTTTTACAACAACATCCCTACAGCAGCCCATCCAAATTTCCGAACATTTCCAAGCAAATTGCCAGTTTTCCAAATTGGGGTAACAGGCGAACAGAAATCAGCAGCAAGCTGCTGAAAACTGGTATAAACTGTTATAAAATGTCCAAGTTTCAAACCATTTAGGAGCCGGCGCAAGTTAGCGGAGACTCAAACCTTTTGAATCCAAATTTAGGTGTTATTTTACAACTGCACCTGGGCACACTGAAACTGATCGTCATTAAATTCAAATTCAAATTTGGCAGTTAAATTCAAATTTGGCAGTTAAAATATTTTAAAAAATTTGTTTAATTCTAAAAAAAATCTTAAATAAATATAAAAAATCTAAAAAATGTTAAAAATTCAGAAAAAAATTTCAAATTCCGAACAATTTTTAAAATTTAGAACAATTTTATAAAAATTTAGAAGAATTGTAAAACATCCGAAAAAATGTTTAAAATTCAGAAAACAAATTAAACAAGAAAGGAAGCTCCGAAGTTTGTATACCCTTGCAGATTGGTTTCGATGTTTATATTATAGATTTAAATGCTGAAAACACTCACAAAACAGAGTTTCATTACATTTTACCTATACTTATTATGTTTACAGTTTGACAGTTACAGTTTTACATTCCCAGTTTTACATTTTCTCTACATCTACCGATCGGTTTATATGGCAGCTATATGATATAGTTGTCCGATTTTTATGAAATTTATACCATAATTCTAGAATAATAAAAAAAGCTTATACCTTAGAGTAGAAAAACATACGTTGAAAAACAACGAAGCTATAATTTTTTTTCCTATTTATTTCTCGATCGTTCCTATGGCAGCTATATCATATAGTCGTCCGATTTTGATAAAATTTATACCAAAATTCTAAAATAATATAGAATGGCCATATCTAAAAAATGGTGCAAAAATGTTGAAAAACATCAAAGTTCTAATTTTTTTTCTACAAATATATCGAACATTTGTATTGCAGCTATATGATATAGTCGTCCGATCCGGCCCTTTCCGACATATATAGCAGTGAGAGCATATAGAAGACTATATGCAAAGTTTCATTCAGATAGCTTTAAAACTGAGGGACTAGTTTGCGTAGAAACAGACAGACGGACAGACAGACAGACGGACAGACAGACAGACGGACAGAC